GCGCCCTAGGCCTGAACGCATCTTACCCTAAACCTTCTATGTAAACCTTAAGACCGAAACTGTGATATTCGCCTTCTCGGTGGGCGGCGGCCAACCCGTCCAACCCGTAAGGGAGGTCGTACGGTTCCGGTTTCGTGCCTGAATGAGCCCTATAATATTAACAAATCACAAAAATTATGTGTTTGAGGTTCAGTGGGCGTGTTTTGTTGGGGGGGCGAGGGGCTTAGGGTTACTAGGGTTGAGGGTAGCGTGTATAGGGCGCGCTGCTTAGCCGAAGATGAACGTTGTGAACCTCGTGGGGTTCTCGGTTCAAGATGTAGGAACTTGAACATCACCCAAGAAGCTCTGCGGAGTTCGATCTAAGCAACCTGCAGTCGTTCCGGCATCTGACCTTGTGTGAGGTTCAGAGGTCAGGGCCCTTACCCATAGGCTCCACAGTAGTTCCTTTTTGTGGTTCATATTTAGGATCCTATAAGGTAATCCCAAAATGGAGCCACAATGGAGCCTCTGCACATCCCCACACCATCTGCACTATTGACATCTTTGGGCACTTCTGTTGAGCCTGGGACCTCGTAGATCGCTGTCTGCTTGTGTCCAAGACAGTCAACTGCAACTCCAGCACCCAAAGGCCCGAAGACACACTGAACTCTGAACGCGTTTATAATCCCTTCAGCCCTGAACCCTGAACCATCTGACCCGACAGAGCCTAAACCGTGGAATTCCAAATGGGCGCAACCGCAAGAAAACGGACAGTACTCTGATCTTTGATACCAGACCCCCCAATAGGCATCCTAAACCCCAAGCCCTATGTAAACCCTTTGATAGTGAATCCCAGTAAGTTGGAGCATGGATTTAGGATGATTAGTGCTGGGATCCCCCCATACTTCACCTTAAGGGCATGAGCATAGTGATGTTCCAACTTTTTCTTCTACTGTAAGGGATCCTTTAAGGGTTCAGTTAAAGGGAACCTATCTATCTATCTATCTATCTATCTATCTATCTATATATATATATATATTTATTATTCTTATTCTTATTCTTATAATAATAATAATAATAATTATTATTATTATTATATATATATATACACATATACATACATATGTATTCAATTCCGACACTCCCTACTGCTTTCCGCAGGAGCTCCAACGACAGTTTCATCCGGATCGACACGTAGCCTCCTCCGAGGAGCCCCAGGTGGTTCTTGTTCCGGGCTTAGGTTTAGGGCTTGGGGTTTAGAGGATTTAGGTTAGGGCTTAGGTTTAGGGTTTGGGGTTTAGGTTTAGAGGATTTAGGTTAGAGTTTAGGTTCAGGGTTTATAGGTTTGGGGTTTAGGTTTAGGGTTTAGGTCAGGGTTTAGGTTTAGGGTTTGCTTCAGTTTAGTGTAGGGCCAAATGAGGGCTGTTCCTAGATTCCCTACAAGCCAGATTGTCGAACTATGAATGGCTGGACATGGCGTGATGGGCGTGATTTTGGCGGCTGAGGCTGAAGGGGTCCAAAGTTTAACGTTGGGATGGGGTAATCACGGGTAATCCCCAAATAGCAGGCCTCACAAGAGGGATCCTCAATCCCACCTAATTACACTTTTGAGGCCCCTTTTGAGGGAATGTCGGTGCCCACCTGGATTCTGACAGCATCACGATCTGGATACATCAGTATATGTATTGCACATTCCCGCAGTTAGTGCATTGATTATCCGCTTATAATAATTCTACAACCATACATACCTGAAAAGTCTATCAGCAGGTGCTGTAACAGTGGGTGTATGTGTATACACACATGTAGGGATGAACCCGCAATGCGACGTGCTGGAACGTAGCACAACAGATATTCCAAGGCAGGGTAGGGCAACGTCGTGTAACACAATGTAGCACAATGCTTCTCATGTGCGTGGATCAGTCAAAAGTGAGCAAGCAGAGGTGTGTAGTGTACTGTTTGTGATGTAGTGTGTTTGCAGGGCAACACGTGGAAGACAATACATCCTTTTTCCAGTTCGGCTTCTAACTCAAAGAATACAACAGGAAAGCAACCGATACTGATGTGCGGCCGCTGCATCCTCTATCCGACTCTATCCACAATCCTGAGGCCTGTTTGGTCATCACTGGGCCGCTGAAACCAGCGTCTATCTTCCCCGGCCATTTGCATGCACCTGTATGGTGCAATGTTGCAGACACCTACGCATGCACGTAGGCACGTAGTTATGCACGCGCGCTTTATAAGGTATTCGTAGAAGGCTCATGTTGCAGGCAAGTTTCTCGTCAATCATGCCGCATAATCGCCTTGACTAAACGAAGCTACCTACGTGGGAGGAGGACAAGGCTGCAGCAGAGGAGCAATCTGCACGGGTGAACGAGGCTGCGACGGTCCCAGGATATTCCAGAGACAGAGTGGCCTTTGGCATTACACCTAGATTGAGGTTATCCAAGATACAATGACCCCTTTCCCAAGGGTACGGAGAGTAGTTTTGTAGGTTAGTATTCAGAAGAGTACCTAGACCCTCCATCTACCCTCTATTAGACCCTAATACCCTTAATTTGGGACCATATACCCCAATTTGAGGGTACAAGGAGGGTCCTGGTAGATGATCAGATTGGGTTCTTGGACTCTTAGGGCTTGGTCGACGAGTCGCCCCTCTAAACCCAAGAACCCTAAACGCCAGGTCAAGCTTCCGGAGCCCAACTTTGCTTACAGGGTTTTAGGGGTTTTAGGGGTTTTGGGGTTTCGGGTTTTGGGGTTTAGGGTTTTGGCGTTTAGGGGTTTCGGGTTTTGGGGTTTAGGGTTTTGGGGTTTTGGGGTTTAGGGTCTTGGGGTTTAGGGCTTATAAGGTTTAGGTTTATGGGGTGCTGGCCTGCAAGAATCTGTCCCCCCAGGACGCATTATGTTGCCCTAGGCTTCCAGGGACCTTATTATTGGGTCCTTAAGGGGTCTAGGGCACTAACTATAAGGTGCTTGGAAGCCTAGGGTTATATCGAAGTATATTGCAGTACGTGGTGTCAGATGACTGCATGTCGCCGTTTTTTGGCATGGGTGTTGTGAGTTTTGTGTGTTGGAGCTGTCGAACGCAAAAACCAGCCAGGACTGAAATGTGAGCTTCTGTGCTTGACACGGGCAATTCGGATCCTCAGAAAGTATTATTTGACCCCACGAATTTACGCGTTAAACCCCAAAGCCCCCTAAACCCTAAATCCTAAACAAAAAAATATTGGCTTTAAAGTTTAGGGTTTAGGGTTTTGGGGTTTATAAGGTTTAATTAAAACCCTAAACCCCCAAACCCGAAACCCTAAACCCTAAACCTTAAAGCCCATAGATCTCCAGAGGAGTATGGTCAGTTTGGGAAGCCGATCTAAGCCCCGAGCAATCTGTGAGCTTCCGAGAGACGGGGGGTTTAGGGTGTAGGGTAGTTTAGGCTTCCTCACTGCGAGGACGCACAAAACCCAAAACCCTGCAAACCCCATAATCCTACACGGTTTATGGGATTCTAAGTTAGGGATGAAGTTTGGTTTAATTTAAAAAAGACACACCTCAGGCCCTAAACTAAGCCCGAAACCCCAACCCTAAACCGTCGAACCCCTTTGGATCAAGAAGCCTCCATCTGTGAGAGTCAGAGCACCAAATCAGTCTTAGACCCCATAAGCCCTAACCCCCAAAACCCTAGATCCTAATCCCTAAACCCCGAATCCCCTAACCCCTAAACCCCTGAACCCTAAACCCCTATAATCCCTGAACCCCTAAACTCCTAAACTCTAAAGCCCAGTGAGACATTGCCCCAAGGTCGCGATCCTCAGGCCTCTCGGGGCCTGTGTTTGCGTGGGCTGCTTTGGTTAAGTTCTGATGTTTTGGCGTTGGGTGTGAATGTATGCAAGGATGTATGTATGTATGTATGTATGTATGTATGTCCGCGGTGGTGATGTGTGGGTGGTGCAGCGGTGGTAGTGGCACTTCGGTTGCTGTTGCACTCGTCGCAGCTGATGCCGATTCTTTGCTTCCACAAAACTCGGGGCGTTTAGGGTTTAGGGTTTATATAGGGTTTAGGGTTTAGATCTATTCAGGACGCCGCTGCGACGAGCAGAGTACTGGATGACGCCAGGTACTCAGCCTTTGTAGAGGTGGCCGGGCGAGTGATTCGCGCCAGTTCACAGCTACACATTCTTCAGGTGACGTAGTGATATCTTCATCATCGTCATCATCCGTGTCGCTCCCGTCGGTTCCCATCGTCTCGCGCCGAAGACGATGGTTGCGAAAACGGGCAGACAGTCATACAAGAAGCGTCCAATCAAAGTAGCAGTGGAGTTCTCGGCCTATCGATGAATCGCAGAATGACCACAGTTCTGTCACGGACCTTCCTTCACCTCCATCAATATGACATGTGTTCGTAATGAGTGCGCCGGATCTACGACAACAGCTGGTCGAGGTATCTCTGCTTATGTGGGGGATTGCCTTGGTGTAGCATGCCTGTTTTGGAATCCTCATCAGACAAGTTTCAAAGTACCAAGACTTCAATCAAGGCGCTTCGTAATTCAGAACAGCAGCCGCACATGATTCGGACTGACGGAAGGTTGTTTTCCGCCCACCTCCTGCAACCTAAGCCCCGCATATGAGTGCATGAGTCTAATCCAATTCCAACGATTGCCAACAGGAACCTGGTTAGGAAATACTTGGTTTTCGATAGGGCTCATTATCACAATGGTTCCTCTGTGCTGTTGTTTTATTGTCTGGCAGGCGTCGAGAATCCATCGTTTCTTAATCAGGTTTCAGTCTTGAACAAAGGATCAAAAGCATAACAAGGGGTTGAACCCTAAACCCTAAACGGGTACACGGTTGACTGCTGGGACGTCCTGAACGAAGCATGAGAAAGGAGGTTCATCGGCAAGATGCTCGCCTCTTGGGAACCTTTTGGTACAAGACTAGAACAACCGCATAAGATCTCAAGAAGCATATAGGACCTTTATTGAATCCTTATATCGTAGACTTATGGCAGCTCTAGTTCGCTCCTTGACGCCATGGCCACGACACACTACTGGAGGGCAGTTTTGCATGCTCATGGAGGGGATCAGGAGAAATTGAAGGACTTCGTCGCGGGACGCAGCGAATATTCATGAACTGTTAGTACTGTTAGCAAACGTTACCTGTCCGGTTGAGTTACCATGAATTGAGGGGTGCCAGCAAGGCATCGTGTGATTTGCATCACTGACCCCGCATGGTGAGTGTTGCTTTGTTCTCCCCCATGATGCCCACGAAGGAGTATATAGGATCTTTGATGATTGACGTGGTACGCTTTTTATTTAGAATCTGTTTCGAGTCATCAGTTGTTGACTTTAAAGTTGCTTATGCTACATGCTACCCCCGCAACGCTCTTCCAATCTCCCCCGTTGCACCAATGCCTTGCACAGCTGAAGCCCGCAGTACACTTTGCATCCTGGTAGACAAAACCCGGCTGTCTCCATATAAGATGGCATGCCTGAGTGTGTAGCATGTAGGGCGTAGGGTTTTTATCCTGGTATTTCTTGTCATCGCACATCAGAAGTGCTCATCATAAATTTCTTCAGCCGCACTGGCATCAACATCAGCATCCTTCTGCTCACATCTCTCATCCGTAACATCACCACGAAGTGAGTAGGTGCATCATAAGGCAGTGGCACTTACTTGCTTGTGACTGACATTGCCACATTAAGTCATCAGTCAGGAACATATTCATTATAGGAACAACAGCAGTATTAAAAATGAAACATTTAGTAACTCAAGAGCGCTATCGCAGCTTGGGCACTTGCTCCTACGGGATTTCCTCTACAGTAAACCCTAAGCCCTAAATTGAATAATTCCAGGCTTGGTGTTTTAATGCTGACTTGCCGTGCCTTGTTTCTGGCTCCGAAAAAGCCGAAAAAGAAACTTAGATCCTAAACCCAACAACCCTAACCCTAAATTAACCCTGAAGACTAAACCCTAAACCCTGAACCAAAACAAACTTAGATCCTAAACACTACTAGCCCTAAATCCCTGGCTGTCGGAATCAAAGAGCGAACTCTGCTCTTTGCTTCGTGCTGTAGGGTTTGGCTGGAAGCTCTTCTACTCAAGCACTTTATAAGCATGCCTCCTAGTTCAGCCCATATGGCTGTGGCGGCTGATAAAATCGCAACAATTCTGATACCAATCATAATCAATACGAACAGGAAAGTAGTCTAATGTTAGCGCTATATATGAATAACATTCGTGGTAGCTGGAGGAGGTCGTCGTCAAGGATGCAGAAATTGTTGGAATTCTTGGGGCTCTTGTGCTAACCATTACCGTGGCTGGGCTGGCCGTCGTCGATGCAAAGCTCGCCAAGTCCTCTTTGGTGCGGACTCTCTACGTGGCATTGGCTTTTTGCAGCTTCGTTTTCTCCTTGATATCGTTGATGATCTCCTCGCGGCTGTTGCTTTCAATCAACAGATTACCTGCCAAGGATGCTTTGGCCTGTCTTGAGGAGCTCGACCGGGCTGGCGCAGCACATGCTTACTGGTGGTTTAGCAGAAGCCTTCTATTTCTCTTATTTGCCGTGCTGATATCGGTGTACCTGCTGTACGATAGTCTCTGCTTTGCCATTTGCAGCATCTTCACGTTTCTGCCTTTGTGGATGATGTACCATCTGGTGTGGCCGATGATGAACTTCTCTCCTTTGGCAGCAGACAGCCGCGATGACACCTCCGATTCTGCTGATCCGGGAGACACATTGCAAAAATCCTCGCGCACGAGGTCTCGAGATTTGAATCGGTGTTGAAGTTGTCTGACAGCCCATCTAGGAGAGCCTGGATGGAAGCTACAAGTGCGGAGGAAGATTTTTGCGTGTGCGCGTGGAAGGAATCCGGGAAGGATGCTGTTGGACAAAGAGTCATACGGTTGATGATATAAATCCTGCATTACCCAGAAAAAGGAATATACCATAATTCTCATAGTTTAGGGTCCTCAAGGTAATGCAGGATTTCTATCATGAACAGTAGGAGATGCAGGCCCAGGAACAGGTCCAGGTCGCAGGAAGCTCCTGTTCTGTGAGCATGGACTTCGGGTAGGTTGCTTGGTGCAGATGTGCACGGTTCATTCATCCAGCCAGTTTCCCAAAGGCTCCAAAAAAGTACCTATATAGCAGGATGTAGGGTTATTATTTTTTGTTTATTATAATTATTATTATGATTATTATGATTACTGTCATTATTATTATTCTTATTTTTTAAGGAAGCATGAAAGTACTAATGACTCCTTGGGCTGCAAGCTGCTTAACGTGCACGCATGACCATGCAGTGGAACACGTGTCAGATGACACACCGATAGCTCTGGTATCGATGCCCCGCTGTGGCCTCGGCTGTTTGCATGCACAACCAAGCCAACCGCAAGGTGGTAAGGGAAACAGTCTACGAGTAGCGCATCCATCTCAACCAGAACATTACCTTGCGAAAACCTCCTGAAATAGCTTATATACATACATATATATATATATATTTTATTTATATATACATTATATATATATATTACATATATATATATACTGCATATATATATATATACGTCAGACAGAGGCAGCCCCAAGACGACCCTCGATTCAGGTTGAAGGGGCAAGCGGTCTTGCTGGAAGAGCAGCGCATCGAGGACTTGATTCCTGATCTGTGCAAAGGTTTTGGGATGCATTGGTCCGTGCAGTAGAAGAGCACCCGCGGCCTTTGACGTCATCACATGACCAGAAAAACAACATCGCATGACCGCGACCCGACTCGGAACAGAAAGATCAAGACATCACGGTTCTTTGAAGATAGACCACACTGTGACCACACCAGTAATGAGAACGACGAGCAATGAACATGACAGTTGTGCTGACAGGGCTTCTTTTGATTAAGATCGTGGAGGCGAGGGTTGGCGAGAGGGTGACCCTGCCCATGATGGTCATGGCTTTTGTTACGATCCAGACAGTGGTAGTGATAATTTATAGATGCTTGCAGTCGCGGCCATGTCGCTGATGATGATCGCGATGATGCCGATGCTGGCATTGGGGTCTGCCATTATTCGAAACGCTCAATGTAGCAGCCAGAATTTTGCTTGGGGCAGGGGAGTGGGGGGTCGAGGGAATTTGCAGGGAAACAGCCCGAAGCCTAAACCAACGCATTGGTGCATGAGTTTGCAAGGTGAGTCTGTCTGCTCCCTTGAACCTTGCACCCACAGCATTGAACACACGGGCCCCCAAACCCTAAACCCTAAACCCCTCAACCCTAATCCCTAAACCCTCAACGCCTAAAACACCCTAAACCCCTAAACCCTAAACCCACTTCTGCAGCAGCGCCCGAGGATGCTGCGACCATGATGGAGGTCATGGAAACTTCCGAAGAGCTCGACGAGGCGAAGAGCCAAGAAGAGGCTCGGTTTGAGTCATTGTACTTGGAGGCCCAGGGGACTTAGTAAGTGGGTTATAAGTAGAATTATGAGTACCCTAAATGGAGTTACCATAATTATAACCCTACTTATAACCGACTTACTAAGTCCCCTGGGCCTCCAAGTAGGGTGTAGAGCGGGTGTTTCAGGCGGTTAAGGGTGCAGGGTTTAGGGCTTAAGGGTGTAGGGTTTAGGGCTTATATAAGTTATTGTGTAGGGTTTAAGGGTGTAGGGTTTAGGGCATATATAGGGCTTAGAGGTTTAGAGGTTTACTGTTTAGGCTCGTGGTGCTTTCTCAATCGGTCCTGTGTGACTGAAGGTGAGTACCCGCTGCTGAATCGCCCAAAAAAACCCCTGTAGTCGTCATCTGAGACCAGGCTTCCAAGGCGCTTCATTCGCTGAAATTGGGAAGTCTTTGATTTGAGCCGGGCATACTAAGCTGCTTAAGGCTTGTAGGGGTTTCTTTCCATATCCGAAGCCAAAGCCCTGAGAGTCCCAGGCTTCAGCTCAAGTCCCATGTGGACACAGTATTCCTTCAAGAGACTGTGGCCAGGTCGATGAGATCCGAGCACGAAACAACTCGAAGGTGTGCCTGACATGATTCGATTAACTCGCAGAAATCCCTCAATGCTACACCCTCAATCTAAACCCTGAACCCTCTTCGTCTCTCTGGGTAGTTTGCAGATGCACTGTTACTGCTTGACTTGCGCTGCTCATTACTTGATGATCAAAGTGATGTATCAGTGCATTTTGGGGGCTACTTATCCATAGATGGCTTCTGAAGATCTTGCAAAGAACTGCGCTCACGCTGCTGTGGCATGTACATATAGGCATAGTAAAGTAGTGTTTAAAAGGGTTCCAGAGGGCGACCAAGATCACGAGAGAGCAATCTTTCCGTTTGTGCTATGTCCACCTGAGACGGTATGAGGTGAGATCAAGTACGCGTATCCACCCCGTTCAACATTGAGAGTTGACCTTCTGTTGGCTTTTATCAGCAGCAAGGTGAAAGAGCGTGGCTTGCAACACCGGGCCGTGCAGCCACCCCTACTTTGCTCTGACCCACGCTATCCACTTGAAGCCTGAGCCAAAGGGTCCTATGTACTGTTGTGCGGGGATACATCCCTAAACCATAATCAAGGCTCAGGATCCGAAGGTTTCGTTTCCGAGAGTGCGGCTCTCTACATTGAGGATTGCCGTAGTTTCGGTGTGCAAGGATCGGTGACCTACTATATGAGTATCTGGGTATGCATGGTCGCATGGTTAAAGTACTACACCAGCGATAATCGCTCTCATACTCTTAGTCCTATTCCTACTATGTAAACCCCAAACCCTAAACCCTAAACCCCTAACTTACTAACTATGTAAGCCTATACCCAGACTCGAAGCCACCTCGTACCCTAAACCCTGAAACCCGAAAGCCCTGAACAACAAGTGTTCAGGAACGGAGTGTTAAGCCCCGAGCGAAAAAATCCACCAGTGAGGTCTGAAAACCAAAACTTGGACCACCAACGTGCATGTATGTTGTGCACAACACTCCGCAATGAGATGCCGCTATAGTTGTCAACTCTGTGCTACGACAGCTCTAGAAAGCAAATATGCGACCAGAATCCTTTAGTAGACACGCTGACATTGGAACTTTGTCATGCAATGCTCCGAACAGAGCAGTCGGGCAAGAGCTCTCTCCGTTGGACATCGATTTCCGCCGGCTCGTCTGGAACGTAACAGCTTTGGTATGCAAGCGACAAGTATATAGTAGCTCAGAATCTAAGTTCCTCGTGTTTGGTGTTTCAGCGCTATGTCTTTGATGACACGCACACAACTGGTTATGCATCGTCAGATGCCCCAGCTGATTCATCGAAAGCTCTCTTTCAAACACCAACTACTCTGCCATCGATGAGATGTTCGGGCACTAGAAGCTTATTGACCCGTGCCTCCTACCACTGGGCTTCTTGCAGCTGCCATGGGCGGTGTTTCTCGGCTGTTTGGTGTTTCGGCTTGGCTCGGAGCGATGCCTGGACTCCAAGCTAGCACAGGTTAACACAAGCGATGCAAACGATGTAGCAACCAATAGGATTGTCGGGTCATGTGTTCATTTACCAGTTGATTTTTTCATGATCTCGACTATCCTTTGGATGTCGGGCTTCTATATTAATAATCCTTATTCTGATTTGGGAGAGTATCCCCCATAACAGTATGTGGGACCCTTTGGGTATTGAACTGCCGCCAAAAACTCTCGAGAGCCCCTGTATTCATGCGTGTATGTATCGTGCATGTTTGGGTGTCTATAGATATATATATATATATACATATATTTTTATGTATTTATTTATGTGTGTGTATCTATCTATCTATCTATCTATCTATCTATCTATCTATCTATATATAGGTGAATGTATAGGATGCGTATGTAAATAAATAAATATGTATATATATATACATACAGGCATACATGCATGCATACATGCATATACAGATACATACATACATATATATATATGTATATATATATATATACACGTATATATATATATGTAGATAGATAGATAGATAGATAGATAGATAGATAGACAGACAGACAGACAGACAGACAGGCAGCCAGATAGATAGAGACATGTAGATTTCACACAAACTCATCACTCCCAGAACAGACGCGACAAGCTAAGGCGTTTTCCGGCCCTCCGCCGAAAGTTACGCAGCGTGTGTTTTTTGATGTGGCCATCGCTGGGAAGCAGACTGGGAGGATGCTCCACTTAGACTTGGTGGCTTTAAGGTTCACGGATTGAAGGGTTTGGGGTCTCAGGTTTAGGGTTTAGGGATTAGGGTTTAGGGTTTGGGGTTTAAGCAGGGTTTCGGTTCAGTGTTCAACTGATTCAACGGAGCTTGGGTTTAGGATTTGATTTGGGTTGTGGCTAGTGGTATGGGAGGATGCCCAGCTTTGACTTGGGGGATTCAGGGTTGAGGGCTTAGTTTGAGTATATTTGGGGCTCTTGGGATATTGATTGAGGCGAGCTTTTGCGAGCCCTAATGAAGACGACGACGACGGTGATCATGACTATGTTGACAATGATGATGTGATGATGATGATGATGGTGATGGCGATGATGGTGACAAGGCTGATGATGACCGTTTTGCCGACGCCAAGCTAGATTAGTGGTGATAGCGAGTCTGTATGTATTCATTGCATTTCTGTAGGCAACTGTTGTCGTTGTTGCTGTTGGCGGCGGTGGTGGTGGTGGTGGTGCTGGTGGCGGCGGCGGTGTTGGTGGGTGGTTGGTGGTGGTGGCTGGTCGGTGGTGGTGGTTGATGTTCATGTTGATCAATCGCCAGGTGTGTAAGATGCCTCAGGAAAATGACCTGTGCGCACTGGTCGCGATTGCAGGCGGAAGACCAAAGACACGGCCGACGACATGCGAAACGGTCGTCTGTTCAAGCCACCTTGCCCGGCGCAGCCTGTGAGCCTGAGACGTAAGCCCCGAACCGGACTCTAATAGAATACCCATAGGCTCCTAAGTAGTTCCTTTTTATGGTTCATATTTAGAATCCTATAAGGTAACCCCCAAAAGGAACTACTAAGGAGCCTATGGGTAGAATAGAGTATGTAGAATTCGACTAGAACCCTAAAGAAGCACCCGAGAACCCAGAGACAAGCACCCCGAGAACCCTGAGCGCCTCAGGATCGTGTTCGGGCTCTACGGAGTCGCGGCAAAGGATTCCTTTTTAAAGGATTCCTGTTTTGTGCGTCTAGGGTGTTGTGGCATGATTTGCATGGCCTGGTGGGCATAACAATCTAAGTCTTCTGATGGTCGGGGGCAGCGCTTTTCAGAACTCCTTCAAGTCTGAATTCAATGCCGACTCATGCACCGGAGTGCAAATTCCGTGAACCCAAGTCACATAACTCTAGGTTTACAATTATTTTGACCTGCGGGCTACGTGACTTGAGTTCACGGAGTTTGCGCTAGTTTAGGACTTTCTTATTATTCCTATTAGTATTGGCATTACTACTCTTTTATACTGTCTTGTTATTTCAAATTCTTATTATGTAAGCTTCAACCCATGTACACCCGAAACGCCTCGTTCCCCAACCTCGCCTGTGCCTCAGCCCCTCCTCTCTTCCCAAAATCGGTCAGTCTATGGTACACGGCTGGATTTAGAACCACACGCTTCTGAATTCAGATCTGTAGGGTCGCTTCTGAATTTGGTTGGTAGGGAGCGAGGCAGGCAGGTGAAGGACCGAGGCAGAGACGGAGAGGCGGGGCGTCTTACGCCCTGCCGCAGAAGCCCGATTCTATATCCCATTCACAGGCAAGCTTACACCTTACCGGAAGCATCTTCAAAGTGCCCAAGGAGAGCACGTGCCTAAGACCGTGGCGAACTTCGAAGCACTGTGCAAGTCCACCTCCCGGCTGTGCGATTTTTGTCTAGTGTGTGCCGGGAGTTTTGGACCTGATGAGACTGATGATCGAGAGCATGCATGATAACTTGTGGATGGTGGTGGCGAATGATGGTGCTTTTCGCTTCAGTGATCTGATGATGACGTTGCCGTTGTTTTTCATTTTCCCTCCTACCTTCGCTGCTGCCACTGCTGCCTACGATCACCACTGCCGCTGTTGCTACTCCTGTAGCAGCAACAACGGCAACAACAGTAACTGGCGCTGCTGCTGCTACCGCTCCTGCTCATACTCCTGCTCCAGCTACTGATACTGATACTGATACTGGTACTACGGTTACCAGCACAAGTAGTGCTAGCAGTAGTAGCAGTAGTCGTCGTCGTCGTCGTCGTCGTAGTCGTCGTAGTAGTAGTAGTAGTAGTAGTAGTGGTGCTAGTAGTAGTGCAGCAATAGTACTGTAGTCGCAGTGGTAGTAATGGTACAACAACAACAGCAACAACAACAACTACTACTACTACTACTATTATTACTACTACTACTACTACTACTAGTACTACGACGACGACAACGCACTACGTACTACTGCTGCTGCTGCTACTACTACTACTACTACTACTACTAGTACGACGACGACGACTACGACTACTTCTACTTCTACTTCTACTTCTACTTCTACTTCTACTTCTACTTCTACTTCTACTTCTACTTCTACTACCACCACCACTACCACTACCACTACCACTACTACCACCACTACCACTACCACTGCCACTGCCACTACCACTATTACTTCTACTACTACCGCCACCACCACCGCGACGACTACTACTACCACTTCTCCTGCTGCTGCTGCGACGACGATGACGACTACCACGACGACTGAAACTGACACTGCCACCGCGACAGAGACTGCTAACTGACAACTCCTTACTGCTTGCTGCGCACCGCTTTCTGCTGCTACTACTGCTGCGTTTGCTAAACCCACTGCAACAACAACCGCCGCCGCGACTTGCTGTTCTTCCTGCGACCAGCTTGAAGGGAATTCGTCTTCACGAGTCACAGTTATAGTAGCTACGTGCTCGTAGCGTGGTAGTGCCAGAGTGTGGGTAGTAGTACTTAAACTCAGTAGTTGCACCTTATAAGCCCTGATTTAGCCTAAGCCAGTGGCTTCAGGTGCGACAAAGGGGCTCCGCTGTGCTATCGGGGCACTCCCTTCCACCGCCACTCGGCGACTGCCTGAATCCCTTGCTTCCATGTTCTGAGTTGGGGTGAACTGTGCCTGGTTCAGGGTTTAAGAACTAAACCCTAAACCCTAAACCCTATCATTTCCTCGGAGGGAAGCCCCGTGCTCTTTGCATTTGCTGCCGGACTGAAACTTAACTTTCACTTTGCTTGTTTCCGCTGAAGTTGGAAACATTCGCGTATCACAACAGGTACCTATAGACTCCATAAGCCTCATATCCAACGTATGCAGCAGCACCAGTTTCCGGTGGCCGTCAAGGGCACGAGAACGAAAGATATACTGTCTCTGCATGCCCTTTTCCCGGGATAAGATCTAGTAATAGTGAGACTGGGCTCGATCGACCCGTGAATATGTGCTTTGATGTCATGTCTGCCAGCTGTCCTGCTTGCTAGGATCCAGTTTAGGGTACGCAGAACTTCGCATATGCTGACCTGAAGCTTCTTGGTACCGTGGCTCGGTGAAGGGCAAATCACCTAGATGTTGAAGTCATCTCAGACCTCTTTCCCTGTCACCACTTCGACATCGTATTCAAGTCTTTTCCGATAAATCAAGGTACGTACATTGTACATCTTTCGGACGACGAGTCTTCTGCATTTCTGCAGTGCACCGCACGTGCGCAAGTGCTGCCTGTAGTCCCTCTCATGTGCTTGGCAGCCGCAGTTTGGGACAAGGGATTGATCAGATTTCTTCAATTTTTTCTATCCGAAGACTCTTCCTGTGAGGCATCATACCGGGATTCATGGTACAAGGGGGTGACACCACCAATGGTAATGGGACTGGCGGAGTGTCCATCTATGGTGGACGCTTCGAAGACGAGCAGCCGCTTGGCAGGGTTAGTTGCGGTTGGTTTAGGGGGTTGGGTCGTCGGAAGGGCAGGTCGAAACTGACCTCTTAGCCCCACCTCTAGGCTTTTGGAGGGCGTTTACCGTCATACTCACCACATAAGCCCCAGCGCGTCTCTAGAATCCAGCACTTCCTCACGCCAGCCTCGGGTTTCATCCGCCTGCTAGGCCTGTATAACTTGCCCTTATGCCCGGAAGATCTCAAAGGCTATCTGGCTGGGAGTTTCCGAAAATGGGCGGGGGTACCTCACTTTGCGGTCCTTATAACAAGGATCCTACTATTTAGGGTACCTTGTTTTAGGGTCCCCTATCTTCGGAAATCCTCCTTTTTGGATTTAGGGCTAAGGGTTTAGGGTTGCTGTGAATCCGAAGACCAATCAGCGACAACACAGACCCAACCGTTCAACCCCCCCCCCAGCCCCAAACCCCTTCACCCTGTCCGCGGCACGTCCACAACACCAGAAGCTAGTCCCTAAACCCTGAACCCTAAACCCTAAACCCTAACAGTGAGATCGCTTAGTAAAGCCTAGCAGAGGTAGGAACTCCGAAATCCGCGAAACCCTGAAAGCCCACAGCCCGAAAGCCCCAAACTTCACACCCAACGCCCTCGAACGCTAGAGTTCGAAGGCCATTGAAACCCGAACCCTAGGCTTCCAGGGACCTTATTATTGGGGTCCTTAAGGGGTCTAGGGCACTAACTATACGGTGCTTGGAAGCCTAGGGTAAGCCTCAGGCCCTGATCTGGCGTTTTGGGTTTGGGGTTTCGGGGAACCCTAAATCCTACCTAGAAAGCCAGTTTACCATAATGTGGGGTAACTGTTGCCCCTTATTCCTTTAAAGTTGTATATATTTATGGGCAACTTGGCTTTCCAGGTAAACCCTAAACCCTAGCTTAGGGTTTAGGGTTGGCCTCTTCTTGGAAGGTTTGGAGTGTCGCACAACAAACCCGGGCTGCTGAGCATGGCGAATGTGGCCCGGTCTCAAGAGTCCTGGGTTTAGGGTATATAGGGTTTAGGGGTTTACGGTGTCTGGCCATGTAGGGTTCATGGGTTTAGGGCTTTAGGGTGTGCAGTTTGGGGTTTAGGGTTTTAGGAGGTTTGGGGGGTGCAGGGTATACGGAGGGTCTGGGTCGACCCAACCAACCTCTAATAATATGGTCAATTATATATAATATATGATGAGCTCTGCCATAACATTGAACAGATCGTTAACCTTTCCTTTTCTGGGCTAGGATACTAAGCCCGTAAGCAGAGGGCTCCAAGGGCCCTTGGGTTTGCGGCGAGCCTCACGGGTTCTGTGATGCAGAGTGACTTACATAGCGTGGAGGTCTGAATACGGTAACTAGCAAAAATGCGCGTCATCCCGTTACAGCCCCTATAATCATCATTCATGTGCTGCCACGTACCCCCAAGGGCTAGTCTAGCTAAGTGGAGTAAACGAGCATTGGGCTTAGGGTTGAAGTGGCTTTGGGGCCGTGTACCGTAGGGGTAAAGGGCTCAACTTTTAGGGGCTTCTGCGATTTGTAGGGCCCGGGTCATGGAGGCTTTTGGGCTAGGGTCTAGGGTAGTGGGCACAGCTTAATGGGCTTAGAGTGTGCAATTGGGGCTGGGGCTTGGAGTTTGCAAGGTTATGGCTTGTTGTCTGGAGTCTAGTGTACAGCTCGCGGAGCTGATCGATGCCGAGATCCTTAGGCAGCTGTAAACAGCGCCTGTGTACATTCTACGCGCCCTCAAGACACCTGCAGTCTTACCTATAGTCTCCATTGTAGTTCCTTTGCTTGGTTTAACCAATTCTAGATTAAGGATCCTAAATTAAAATAAGGTAACCCAAAAAAGGGAACTACAATGGAGACTATAGGTAGATGAGAATACCAAACAAGAAGACGGACTTCTCGTGGTGTCGCTGTCCTACATGTGAAGGTCCGAATCCCACAGTACGCCGGACTCCGGGAGTTCAGGAGGCGCCCTTATCATAAAGCTTGACCCAGTAGCCTCTGACCAGGCATGAGGTTTGGGGCTTAAGGTTCATAAGGTTGTGGGTAAAAGACTTACGATTTGTGCTTTTTAAGGTTTGGTGGGTTGGGTTTGGTCGGAGGATTTAGGTAAAGTTTGCACGGCATCGTCAAAAAAGATTCGAGGCGTTTAACCTGGCGGATGCTGTAGCGGTGTCTATAGGGTTTAGAGTTTAGGATTCCGCAACCCGGCTCAGGCTGGCCCGAACACAAACGGATCCCAGTTCTTCATTACGACCGCGCCTGCATACCATTTGGATGGCTGCCCCGCAGAATGGTTGGCCAGTGCAGCAGTGTTTGTAGATGGAGGGGTGCAGAGCGGTTGTTCGTTTGTTTTCCTCGTTCTTAGCTTCGAGATGCGATGTCCGAAAGTCAACACCCGCTCTTCGAATGGATATGAGTCATGAGCGGTTAGGATTCCCATTATGACGAAGCCCTAAACCCCCAAGCCTAAACGCTAAGCCGTAGCATTGTGTCGGAGCCTTCATCGCTTCTTCTTGGATATTTGACAGGGTTTCTCGTCATAAACGCTTCTAGGGTTTAGGGTATACCAATATTTCTCCTTAGGAAAGACTCTATTCTACTTAATGACAGCCTTAATAATCACTCCAAATCTTGAATCCCCAAGACCGTGAAGTGCTGACTTTGAACGCATCTTAGGGTTTAGGGCTTATAGGGGCTAGAGAGTAGCATCGGGGCCTTAGCAACTGTGAAAGCGGCTTCCGGGCACATGTTCTGGTCTAGGATTTAGGATTTAGGGTTTAGGGTTTTAGTTTATAGGGTTCAGGGATAAACATGACACAAGCAATCCGCTCCCCCGAGTAACAAAGACCACCTGCCGCAATGCGCCCCAAGAGGAGAGCCTCGGGATCCTAGATAGGCGAACTTTAGGGGTTTAGGGTGCCTGATCTATGTTCTTTCTGTTGCATACCCTAAACCCTAAAGCCTACCCAGATTCGGAAGATTTGACCATTCTGCAGGGTTTAAGCTTTGACTTGTCTGCGGAAGACGAGCAGTGTGCCTCTGCGTGTGTGCGTGTGTGCGTGCGTGTGTGTGTGTGTGTGTCTGTGTGTGTGTGTGTGTCTAAGCTAGCCTTTCGAAGCCTCCTGGTCATCATTAAGTAGAGCTTAATTGAATAACTTGTTGCTTCGATCATTGTTTCATTCTGTGCAAAAGACCTTGAACCACAAAGGCTACACAGAAGACCTGCTTAGTTAACGTAGTAACCGTGTTACGTAATGGTTATGGGGGGTTACAATCGAGATCGTGGATTACTCTTTATCCCCGACCTGTTCAAACTCACGCCCTACTGCGAGAACTCTTCCATGGCTCCGTCAAGGCAAGCATGTCGTCTTTGGCGAGGTGCTGGAAGGCAGAGTTTGTTGTAGTACCTCGTTTGACTCCACTCATCGGTAGATCTTGTGTAGACGACAGGCGTTTGGGAGGGTTATATTTGCGAGAACCAGACAGCACCATCTTCTAAAATTCGGTCCCTAATGCTCCCCAGCCGAGGCCCTAGTCCTCACTCAGGACGACTTGAAGTCCTAATTCAGGTTAGACTCTTGGGTTCAGGGACCCTGTGTCTATGATTGGATGTTGCTTTGGGGAGGTTTTGTCCCTTGGGTCCTTGTGTCATCTGATAATCAGTACCACTAAGCCTGCGAACTCCAAGCCGGATCCTGCATCCAAAGCCCCCAGACAGTGTGTAGAGTTTAGGGTCTTGCGTAGTCAGCATATTCTCTTTAGAGCCCCTGATACTCATAGTATAAGATAACCCAAAAAGGCCCTATTCCAGTCATCAACTCCCCTACTTTACCCAACTCGCAATAAAGATACTGACCTCAACCACGGGTTCTCTGATTTTCCATCTCTAAACCCCGAACCCTGCATAAACCCTATCAGCCCTGGCGCGCTGAGGCCTTTTGAAGCCCTTACAGCCTACGATATCTCAACCATGAGTTCGATATCCAGAATGTATGGGCCTTCGTATACCCCCCGGCCCCTATGATTCACTGTGCAGAAAACTCGGAACCCTAAAAACCTTGCAGAATCCACAAAGAACCTGTTAATTGCACCCATAAAAGAGCCCTCTTCTCACTAGGCCCTAAACCCTCAACCCTAAAACCCGAAACCCTAAACCCTAAACCCGAAGCCCTAACCCTAAGCCTAAGCCCGAAACCCTAAACCCTAAGCCTTAAGCCTAAACCCTAAACTACTAATCCCTAAACCCTAAACCCGAAGCCCTAAACCTTAAGCCTACACCCTAAACTACTAATCCCCAAACCCTAAACCCTAAGCCCTAAACCTTAAACCTTTGCCTGCCCCAATGTGGGCTTCGGAGCCGCCGCGACGAAAAGGGCCCTTAAAAAAAAAAAAACCTTAAGCCTAAACCCTAAACTACTAAACCCTAAGCCCTAACCTTAAGCCTAAACCCTAAAGTACTAATCCCTAAACCCTAAACCCTAAGCCCTAAACCTTAAGCCTAAACCCTAAACTACTAATCCCTAAATCCTAAGCCCTAAACCTTAAGCCTAAACCCTAAACTACTAATCCCTAAACCCTAAACCCTAAGGCCTAAACCTTAAGCCTAAACCCTAAACTACTAGTCCCTAAACCCTAAGCCCTAAACCTTAAGCCTAAACCCTAAACTACTAATCCCTAAACCCTAACCCAAAAAGTCTGCAATTGCGGGAGGAGAGCAGGTCGTGAAAGCCCTGGAGTCCCACGGTGTGCTCCTCAGTTTGGGTTGAGGGTTTTAGGGTTTAGGGTTTAGGGTCGAAGGATTTTAGGGTTTAGGGTTTTAGGGTTTAGGGTTGCAGGGTTTTAGAGTTTGGGGTTTAGGGTTTTAGGGTTTTAGGGCTTGAGAGTTTTAGGGTTCAGAGTTTTGGGTTTTAGGGCTTAGGGCTTTTGGGTTGAGGGTTTAGGGTTTTAGGCTTGTAGGGCTTTAGAGTTTTGGGTTTAGGGTTTTAGAGTTTAGGGTTTTAGGGTTTGGGGTTTAGTTGTTTTAGGGTTTTAGGGTTTTGGGTATAGAGTTTTTGGGTTGAGGGTTTAGGGTTTTAGGGCTGTAGGGCTTTAGGGTTTAAGGTTTAGGGTTTCGGGCTTTGGGTTTTAGGGTTTAGAGTTATGGGTTTAGGGTTTTAGGCTTTAGAGTTTTGGGTTTAGGGTTTTGGGTTTAGAGTTCTGGGTTTAGGGTTTAGGGTTTAGGGTTTATGTAGGGTGTAGGGCTTAGGTTTGCGAGTCCCTTAATTAAGTTTGGCTATATGGCGGGATTGAGGTTTGGAGTTTAGGGCTTCAGGCGTACAGCTTAGGAGGGGGAAGAGGAGGTTTCTTTTCCACCATAATTTCTCCTTATTGAGTGTTCTTGAGGGATTCCCTCTTTCCAAAAGGCGTGCTGAGGCAGTCACTTATTGCCAGGCAAACCGATGTTTGTATAGTCATGGAATGAAGAATTGGACAGCACATGGCGCACCATTCTTGTGGGAACGTTTTGGCAAGAATGATGGCCTCAACACAGTTCGTGGCAATCATACCGTAGAGGCATATTGACCCGTGACACACGTAAACTAACGTGACCGATTTCTAAGAACAGAGCGACAGACAAGCATTGATGCTACTCGTGATGAGAGGAATATTATCATTGTGAGGTCTGCGATTTCATGTGAACATGGGCGATGTCAATGACGATAATGCTCAAAACATGATGCTTCAATCGATGACGACACTGATACTTATACGCTGCCGCTGCATCGACTGCAGCACCTGCAGCTGCTGCTGATGTTGATGATACTCCCACAACCGCTATGGCCGTTGTTTCCATTGCTTCCGGTGTGCGAAGTTGGGTAGACTCAGTTTCCGGCAGAGCAACACTGTCACTGTTTCCAAGAAATGCTAGATTTGAGAAGAGCATGTGCAGCTGTAGTGGGGCTGCGGCTGGTGGCCGCCCTTCATGGCGGGCTAG